TGCTAAACCCCTGCCAGCCTTATCTGTACTTGACTGCTTATACACTGACAGACCAGTTGCCCCATCAAATCTTTTTTTTTTGATGTAAGTGTTTTTACATATATTAAGTGAATCAGCAGTCAGCACTTCTATCTGAGATTCACTAAGCCGCTGTGCTGTGTGCTGAAGTAGAGACTGCAACGGAATTTTTGCTGAGTAATCAGAGACCTTAACATCATCAGATAACATCTGTCTTTTGCACTCTTCAAATCATGATATGTTGGGTAAATAGCTGAATCTAGATCTAAAGCATTGTTGCGGAGAAGTTGGTATGTTGCCTTTGACAGATTAGCATCTAAGAAGAGTGCTACCACTTTGTCAGATGAAAGACTTGTTTGAGGGGTATATAAAATATTTTTGACACTGGTAGTCTCTTCATTTCTTCCATCTTTTTTTAACGACTTTGAAGCTGCATATAATATTTCGTTAGTAGAGTACATATGTATAATGTTAGAAACTTTTCTGTCCTTTGATTGTATTGAAGATTCCACCAAATTTTTTTTCAGGAGTAACAGCTTTAATTAGCTTAAAAGAAATAATGCCAATAATAATTTTTTAAATAAAATCAAATAATAATTTTTTTTTATTGTTATTATTATTATACTTTCTTTCTTAATATTGTATTTTCTTCAATATTGGCCAATTTATAATATAGTCAAATATTCTTTTGAAAAAGTTAGTGTTTTTAAATTTCCAACAAATCCAAAGATGATAGAATTATGGATTCGTCAAATTCCTCAAGAAAATTTTATTCCTTCAAATAAAACTGTTGTATGTGAAAAACATTTTATTCCTTCATTTATTGTTCGTATTGATACAATAAAACAATATGATGGTTCTGTAATACATGTTGAGAGAAAAAGACCAAAATTAACTCCAGATGCTTACCCATCATTATTTCCTAACATTCCTTTTTATTTATCAAGCAAACTGCCCTTCAAACGCAAAAATCTAGAATGTCATTGTGCTGAGTTTATTAATCAGGGTGGGGAAAGATTTAAAAAATGGATGGAAATGGAAAAAATTGGCAATTTTGATGAGTTTTCTAATCAAATTAATGGTTATATCAGTAATAAATCTAAATGGGTTACTTTACATAAACCAAACTATATTTGTATTTATATGATTGATGATATAGATATACCAACCATCTTACTATCTTTAAAAATTTATAATAACTTACTAAGTTTTTGCTGGTAATTTGAAAATAGACAGCAGTTTGGTGGCCAAGGTACTTAACAATGAATGGAAACTTTCTTATTGGACTCAATTATCCACTATGTTAACACAATTTCTTCCTGGTAATTAAAATATCATGTTCATTTCAGATTATGATTTAACAATTCAATGTAATTTAAATAGTCTATGTGAACGAGTTAGAGACAGTGATGAATATTCTACTGATGCTCATAAGCGTTTAGTATTTCTATGTGAACAAATAAAACTGTTATTTATTTCTCAACCTCGATATTGTCCTGATACTCTGGCTTTTAGTTTTTATCTAAAATGCATGTCAGAATCAGTTTATAACATGGCACGTGATAAAGCTTTGTTGTTGCCTAATGTGTCTTATTTTCGAAAATTGTCTACTGCTTTTTCAATGAATAATGAATCATTAAATGATTATAGTCATGTCGCTTATTTGAAAAGTGTAATTTTTGTCATTATTCTTCTAAACGAAATTTATGTAGCAATGATGAAGATGCAACTACAGTGCATCATGATGAAGAAGCAACTATGTGCTACTACAGTGCAACTACAGTGCATCCTACACAGTGCAACTACAGTGCATTCAAGAAGCAACTATGTGCTACTACAGTTGCAACTACAGTGCATTCTGATGAAGAAGCAACTACAGTGCAAGCATTTATGATATGCTCTTTTCTATCATCATACAAAAATGTTGCTGCAATGGTACCTGTAAAAAATAACAAGAAAATATAGCAAGAGCCATTTCTACTAAAGTTTTACATTCAAATTGCAATCATATTCTTGAGACATTAGAATCAATTATTCTGGATAAAGATGAAAAATGTCAGACACAAAATGAAGCCATTGTACTTTAAAAAAAAAAGAAGATAACTTTGAATCTTGCTTTTATGATGGAGCTTTAGCACAGAATAATGTTATGAGTTGATGCTACTAGTATAAAACTTCAGGATAAAACTGCAGATTTGTTACTTGGTGTTCGATTGCTAAAATCTCTTTTGGAATATGTGACATCAGTCCATGAAAATTTTCTCAACATTCAAGAAAGTGCGAAAAGGTTCTCAAACATTCCTAATCAGTACAAGCATGAAATTTCAAAAAAGAAGACACGCAAATTAGTGGCAGCAACGAATTTAAATAGATTTTTTTCCCCCAATCATAGACAAGTTGAAAATCTGCTTGAAAGAAAGGCTTTTTGCTTACAAGTCTGCAGAGAGAAAGTTTGGTTTTCTAACTAGTTTTCAGACCATGACCGTTCCTGTCATTGTTGCTGCTGCCAAATCTATGTAATCAAAAATATGTACTATTTATCCTTTAGAGTTAGATACACCATTCTCTTATGAAATTATCCAGTTTTCCAAGTTCATGGCAATGAGAAGAATATATCAACACTTGAATATTTACAATGCTCTTTGTTTAATGATATTTGAAAGAACTCAGTTAAAAATATATAAATTTTCAAGATGTTGTAATTGATTTTGCAAATGTAAAAACAAGAAAAGTTTCCCTGTAAATAAAAATGTAATTTTTTTTTGCATTCATTTTTAAATACATTTTTTTAGTAATGAGGCCTCAAATATTTTTTGGCTATGGCCCCCAAGACCCTTAATCCGACATTGCTTGAGTGATTTAACTGAAGTCTCCCTAGCCCCCCTCCCTTGATCCAGCACTGATATATATATATATATATATATATATATATATATATATATATATATATATATATATATATATATATATATATATATATAATGTTTTAAACCTTTTTACAGCTTGCCCAAACCAAAACCCTCAGTCAATGTAGCTGCATTTCTTGCATGTTTTACATATTTAAGTCAGTCGATCTGATGATGTATCTATATTTTTTCCATGCTACCTATTTAGGTCAGTTTATGTTTGCACACTTTCTGCATGTTCTACTTATTTAAATCAGTCGATGTATGTGCATTTCACTGTGCTAATCTATAAACTAGTTGATAAAATAAAAATAAAAAAACAACTCAAGAAAATAAGTAAATTAAAACAAAGAATATTCCTAAATTTACTATCTTAATTATTTGTAGATAAACTATCTATAAATAGGGACCTAATCTATGGTTATATGAAGACAAATAGCCTTGAAAAAAAGACTGCATTGTTGCAGAATTACAACGCATTTTTATATAAAATAGTTGGATGTTTGTTGACGCTTTTTATAATTTGTGACATATTTTAATCTAATAAAAACCACTGTTTGAATGGCCTTGGCCTCATCTCCTTATCTGCACACGCATAACTGTAATTTTCATCTCCAATATTTTCCTTGTCGTCAACCTTGCTGCTTTCTTTTAAAAACAACTGTTACTTTTTAGGGGGAATGGGAACAAACAAAAGTATGCTTAAATAAAAAAATAAATCAAGATACATTCATGCATCTTGATTTATTTTATATATATATATTTTATATATATATATATATTTTATATATATATATATATATTTTATATATATATATATGTATATATATATATATATATATATATATATATATATATATATATATATATATAACAAACATATATATATATATTATATATATATATATATATATGTTTGTTAATATATATATATATATATATATATATATATTTTATATATATATATATATATATGTTTGTTAATATATATATATATATATATATATATATATATATATATATATATATATATATATATATATATATATATATATATATATATATATATTAACAAACATATATATATATATATATATATATATATATATATATATATATATATATATATATATATATTAACAAACATATATATATATATATATATATATATATATATATATATATATATATATATATATATATATATATATATAGTTTTCTTGTTTTTCTAATGTTGAGTCTTATTCACTATCACTGACTTTATCACTATGATTGACCATATCAAAATTGGAATTATTATTTATTTATGCTGCAACATCCATATTTTTAGTGTAAAATCTAGTAGTAGATGAATAAAATGTTCTAGACAACTCTGACTTGTTGTCAATTGAGCTTTGCTTGATCGATTGATTTACAAAAGTTTTAGAACCTAAGCTTGGTAGTTTCTTTAACATCCAGGCCAAACTCTTACATAGATAAAACACAGCCTTGTTTTTCTCTCTGGATTTTTAATCTCTTTTTGTGGAATTTTATTTGAAAAACATTCTACTATAATAAAGCATAGGATTAATCAATATTATAAATAGTCATCATTTACATTTGTTACATAAATAGTCAACATTTACATTTTTTACATAAATAGTCAACATTAAAGGAAAAAACACAATATTTTCAGAAAACATAAATGTTTCCCGGTAGCAAGAGCTGTTTTTACATTAAAAAAAAAAAATCATGCCATTCAACTAAGGTTTTATAAATACATAGCAAAAGTAATTTACTTAATTAAAACTAGAACATGCATGAGAATGATATACCCTAATATATATATGTATATCTACTTAGTATATTTATGTAAGTATTTGCTCACTTTGTTTTTTTGTACTTACAATGCAAATATAAATGCATAACTTATAAATAAAAATTTAAATATAAAACCCTAAAATACAAGGTTAATATTTTTATAAAATTTTTTTGTGACTTTAAACTTTCTATAAACTCTTTGTTCATCTCAACAAAAATATTCTTATTAAAAATAATAACAAAAATGAAAATAATTAAAATAATATTTTACTTTAGGTATTATTAAAATATTGTGATCAGTTCCTTTGTTCTTGCAACAATATTAGAGTGGAAATGCAATTTAATTCAATTAGAAAATTCACTACAAGGGCATTCAGTTACCTTCTTGAGCCCCAACAACAATCTAGTCTAGCATACAATCGTTATAATTTAGAAGTAAAATATAGTTATGATCGACCTGAGTTTCTAGAATTGGATAGTGAAGCTAAAACAGCATCTGCTGATCATGAGATTCGGCCAATAATATGTCCCAAACATCCATTAGTTATGAAAGCAGGATATGCAGAAGTAATAAATGGTGGAAAAACTGAAAATATAAATGAAGATCAAAGCTGTTTTCATGCTTTTACTGTTACTGTACCAGTTGATCAGAGAGCTGTTGATTGGACTTCTGATAAGTACAAAATAAATTGTATTTTGTTTGGCATGTTCGATGGTCATGCTGGTTAGTTTTGTTTACACTTTTAATGTGTTAAGATAAACCTCCTCAAAAACACACACAAAAACACACACCAACACACATACACATACACACATTAGGTGTGCACTGTTCTAAAGTTAAAAACCTAATGTTGACGTTTAAAACTTTAAGTTTTAAATTTCAACATTCGATCAGACTATTTTTATAATTTTTTTTTGTGGAGTAGGGAGGGAGGTGGGCAGGGGAGAAATTACTAAAATTAGTAACGAAAAAAATTTTTTTTTTTGTTTTATTAATAAATAAAAAGCTTTCATATCAAGACAGTCAATATATGTATTGAAACCCTCACAGCTGTTTCAATATGATATTGACAATGTTTCATGCATAGTTAAGCATGTCAAGATATTTGTGTGAGTTTGTTTATATCTTATACTGCAGCTTTTTCATTCGATGCATGCAATTGCAAACCTTATATGACCAAGCATATAATATTTTATAACTTGGACACAGCTTCTTGCATGTTTTAAGTTAGCACATTTAAAAAATGTACTTAATAAACAAATACACTGAATAAAAAAAACTTAAGTTAAAATTAAAATAAACAAACTGGAAAGAGAAACAAAAACTAAATTAAAAAAAAAATACAAAACTTAAAAACAAATAAAAATAAATAAAAAATAAAAACATAAAATTAATATATGAAAAAATAGTAGCTTTAAGCTTTAATTGGAATTACATTAATTAAGTTAAATTAAAAAATACATTAGTTTTTTGCTTTTTTGACTGGTTTATCCTTTATTTTATTTATCATTTTTTCTTAAATTATAAGTTCGTTTCTAGTTCGAGTATATGGTTTGTTCATTTTTTAAAAACGCACAAACATGAATATTTGCAAATAACTGTGGCCAAGTTGTTAAAAAAAAATTGTCACGAGTGGTCATATAAGACTGAGCGGGCATGTGTATCTCTTGAAAAGGCTTAATTAAAAATTTTTAAAAAGGCTTAATTAAAAATAATTAAAAACTTTTTAACTAGTGTTTAGGAAAACATCTTGAGGTGTTTTTCACAAATTTTCAAAATTATTTTAGGTCATCCAAAAAAAGTTATACTGTTTTACCATTTTTATCAAAATTATTAATTATTTTGAAATAAAGAAATAAAATTGTTTTGTTAAATGTTATTAAAATAAGATTTTGTAGATATCTTTGACGATAACCAATAACATCAGACATTATTTTAGAAATTTATTTTTTATTTATACTGAGTTTTTTTTCTCATAAAAGATTATAAATTTATTAGGCAAATTTGATTTTGAAAATGCCAAGCAAATCTTTTCCTTATAATAAAAATTGGGCCAAAGTGTGTTTGGCCTGTTTTCAAAAAGGTTCAAACATATTCAATCTAATACTGATTTCACATTTTCAAGAAGAAATATTTCATTGAGAGTTATGAACCAGAAGATTATCACTTACTTTCAGGTATCTGTGGTAGTTGTAGGAAATTTCTTTTAAATATTAAAAGAGAAGAAAAAATGCCAGATCTCAATTGAACCTCTTCACCAGATCTCAATAGAACCTCATCAGCAGACCTCTTGATTTTTTAAAAGTTATAATTACAATATTGAAAAGATGAAGTATGTTATAATGATATTTTTTACTATCTTGGAATCCTGTCAAAGTATGGCAGCATTGTTGGCAACTAATAGACTAAGGAATCTCTCGTCCAAACCTTTGAACTGTTTAAAATGCAAAGATAATCATAGTTTAGCTATAATTTAGGTTCCTCGTGCAACAGAGATTGTTGTATTTGACATAAAACTATAAGATGAAACTGCAGGTGATTCAGCCACTGTCAAATTAGCAACTAGAGAGAAAGATTTAACAATGATACAAAAAGATGTTACAGTGATTATCAGTGATTATTATATGTTACAGTGAGTATACGGTTAAAGTAGGAGTTTATGGGGGTAGAAGCTTTCTAAATTTCTGCGTAAACATAATTGCCAAAATAACAGAAAATTTTTTTTTTGCTATTCTTAATGGACTTTTTCTCAATCTTTTCAAGATTCTGATGAAGAAACATAATTTTGGCTATTGTTTGATCTGTAAATTTTATTAAAAAATAAAACAAATTTTAGATATGCTTGCATTTGAAAATTATGGTCACAGCAGTGCAAAGATGAAATTACATTTCTTTTATTAGGCTTTGCTGCATCCACATACCCATGCCCCTGGCGTGAAACTTCAAAGAATGACTTCTGAAAGGTTTGAACAGGATAGTTATTAATATTTTGGCTGATTAAATCGAATGCTAAAAATTCTCAAGTAGCTCTTGGAGTTCATTCATATAATAAAACAAAGTTTTTAGCTAAATAAAAAAGTTGCATGAACCTCCCTTTGGTTGATCTTCCAGATGAGACACACCTATTTTTGATTTCCTGTCTGTCATGGAATTGCACATGGTTCTTGGAAACTGTCTTTTTGATCACTTGAACACTATCTTGAATCAAACAGCTTCTTGTTTCTTCAAAGTTTGAAGCTGTTTGACTAGCAAGTAGATTGGTCAAATAAACTAGGTATTCAGAGGCCTTCAATTATTACTAGCAAGTGTTAAAATTGGATTACAAGGAACAAAAATAATTACTGCTTTCAGAGCTTTCAAGGGAGTTGTAAAATCATGGTTTGCTGATGATCTTAATCCCAAATATAAAAACAATATCTCTTTATTTGAAATTGCATACAGAGATCTTGGAGTTTCAATCACTCCAAAAGTGCATGCTGTTATCCAGCACATTGCCCAATTTCTTGAAAATCAGGCTAAAAAACCATGACATTGACCACCAAAATAAATCTTCAAATGCTCAGAATAATTTTTCAAAAAGGTTTGACTTTTATAGCAAACAAACATTTGTTCATTCTGATTTTATTAGGCTATGGGAATCTCGTGCCTACAAAAGAGATGTTAATCATCTGGAGTACAGTGGTTGTGTTGTTGCATACAACATTGAGTATAGTGACTGTTGTTGCATACAACAGAATAAGAAGAATAAATAGCAACTGAATGAATATTGAAGAATGTAACATTTTTTTTTTAAAAAAAAAAAAGCATTTTATTGTGTTCTAGGTTCTAAGAATCTGTTAAAATTTAAATTATTATTATTTTTTTTTAAATGTTTTAAACTGCTAGAATATATCATTACATAATATATTTGTAAAGAATGAGATAATTTGAACAGGGTTTGTGTTTATTTTATGAAAGATATAGATTTTAATTTTTTTTTTTTTTTTTTTTTATTTTAATTCACCTCCTCAAGGCCGAGAAGGCCACTACAGACGAGGAGGCTACTTATTTGTGGTTATAACCCTCTCTCAACTCTATAACTCCGAAACACGAACCTTGACGAGCAAGGCCGCTGCGCGGAGAGACGAGTTGTTTAATTAATATGGTTTTTTCAAGAATTCCATAAAAATAATAAAGGGATTATAATTTTTTTAGGCATTAAAAAACAATTTTGAAAATTTGTGAAAAACACCTCCACATATATATAAACTCTAGTACAAAAAATTTTTATTTGAAATATATACTTAAAAAAATAGCAAACAAAAAGAAAAAAAAAAAAAAAGCAAAGTTAATGTTATATTTAAATTCTAAACAAAAAATAAAAATGAAAACATCAAAAAGAAATAATTTTTTCAAAATCTAAATTTGGAAAAATTATTTTTTTCAATAAAAAAATGGTTTAAATAAAAAATGGCAAAACGATTGTTTTATTAAAATTCTTAAAAAATAATAAAAATAAAAATGGCGAAATGAATTTTAGTAGTAAAAATCTTATCATGATTTTTCATCAAAGTATTTGATGAACAAAAAGAATTTGTTGAAATTTAAAAAAATGCTTGTGTATTGATTGATATATATCTACACTCACTGCAAGTTCTGCTTATTTCAGCCAGTTAATGTATAAAAACTCTGGTCAGGCTTTCTATAAATAAATTAGTGTTAATGCTAAATAAAATAGGGTTACAGTTATAAAACAAAAATAATTTATTAATAATTTATTAATAATTTATAGTTATAAAACATAAAATAAGTTATAAAAACATAAAATAATATGCGTCATTAAATAATTTATAAAACGTGTTATAATAACGTGTCATAAAATAAGTTATAAAAACATAAAATAAGTTATAAAACATAAAATATAGTTATAGAACATAAAATAATTTATTAATAATTTATAGTTATAAAGCAAAAATAATTTACAGTTAAAAAACAAAAGTAATTTGGGCAGGCAGTCTATCAGAACCTCTCTCTCTCTCTCTCTCTCTCTCTCTCTCTCTCTCTCTATATATATATATATATATATATATATATATATATATATATATATATATATATATATATATATATATATATATATATATATATATATATATGTATATATATATATATATATATATATATATATATATATATATATATATATGTATATATATATATATATATATATATATATATATATATATATATATATATATATATATATATATATATATATATATATATATATATATATATATATGGTTTTTAAAATATGACCTGGATGATCTATGTAAATTGCAGCATTTTAGTCCATGTTTTTTTTTTTATAAATATTTTATTTACATATGTTCTTCTTATTATTTAGCTTTTATGTAAAACAACCCAAGCATGTCTAAAAATTAAAAAATAAGTTATTTATGTTACATTGTATATGAATTTATATGAGAAAATGTTTTACACCAACACTAGTAATGGTGTAAAACCATTTCCTGTTAATCCCTAACAATTGATTAGTTATAACTCACCCTAGTTTATGTTTCCTACCCTATTTTTAATTTCCTACCTTTATTTTAATCTAGTTTATGTTTCATGATGAATTATATGTAAAAATCTAAAATTAAAATAAAATAGAATCAGGATAACTTACATAGTTTGCATATTATAGTTTTATAATTAAGTTACTTCCACTTGAAGCAATTGAT